GGTCTTCGCAAGGCCCCATGAATCTTCCCCACTTACCGAAGGACCTTCCCAAACTTGAGATCCCGCTCGCGAAGCACAGGTCATGAAGAGGTCAGGCCTGTAAAAAGGTACTGCCCAGATGCTCCGTGAAGACAGCCGAAGCGGTCCCTCAAAACCGATCGGAATTTCCCCAAACGGGCTTGGTGGGCCCATCTCCTCAGGTCTGGTGGTTAGGCCCATCCACCCACCATCTTAATGCCCACGGAGGGGGCGGTTTTTGGAGCCCAAACGGGAAACGCCCGCGGTCGGTGAGGCGCCTGAAGTCGTTGTCACTGGGATTTTGCTTCGCAGCGTCTCCAGTCGAATCGCCGGTCATGCTGTTGAAGGCTGACGGGAGCGGGAGATCCGGAGAAAAGGGAAGCTGCTGTTGCTGTCCAGTGATCGAGGGTGATCCTTTATATGAGAAAAATCGTTTTTTATACGTGTTTGTTTCCTCCTGATGCCGGCGCCGAAGTCTCGTCTCGGTGAGTTCCTTTTCGACGTCCGACCGAAGAAGACTGCGGACGACGCCCCCGGGGCACGGGCACGTCCACATCCCAGGCGCTATGGGACATCGAGGCCGAAGGAGAGCCCTTGGAAGCCATGTTTGAAGGCGGGAGAAGGCGTTGATCCATTGGTTGGTGCGGCAAGAGGACAACAGGCGGGTGCTGGTCACTGGGTGTGCTTGTCTAACTTAAAGTAATCTTTGGATCTATTCGCTGAATGAAGGTTACGAAAGCCAGCTTCGTAGAAGGCGCTAGCGGAGTTGTGTCTGGCGAACGAAGTGAGTAGTTAGGGGGTCTGGGGGGGTGGCCCGAGAAAGGGACACGTCAACTCAGCACATGCTGGGGGAGGAGGGTGCTCCGAGGGAAGGTTTTTTGAGGTTGTGTTGGAGGTGATTTTTGAGGGGTGGTGATGCAAGAAATGCCAAATGCATCATTTGCATCATCTGAATGGAAAGGTGTAGTTGGCACCTTGCAAGGTAGAGAGACCTAGGGTAGCTATAGTGCAGCTACCAGGTATAGTACTTCAAGTTCCCTTTCCGTCAACCGCTTGAGAACCTCTACACACGCAC